TGTGGTATAACCTCTGGTTGAACCTTTCAAATTTCTCTTTTAGGAGGTGATACAATACATTTTGACTATGTTACCTGCCTCTAAGACCCATCTGCCTAATTAAGTGATAGAAATTAAAATTATTGTCAGTAAGTCGGGAGAAAATCTAAATTGTAAATATCCCTGTCTTCTGTCAGTGTTGTTTACTTATCATTTTCTACTGATGTTTTAAAGAATTGCTGAACATGTGTTTTTTATCCAGAGCTGAATGTTCTCTTTTGATGAATATAAAACATACTTCACTTTGTAAATGTACATTAGAAGTATTAGAAAGACTTAATCTTTGACTCTGTTACTAAATTTCATCTGTCAAAGGAGATAATTTTGAACTGTAATGTTTGGTATTATATCAAGTGATGGTTCCTGGATGCTTTTAGGATTAAAATGGAATTCCACTGTATAAATTGAAGGTCATTGTCATCCATAGTAAAATTTAGGCTGTATGTATACTTATTTACTTCTTTTGTCACGTGTTGGTATACCTCAGTTGAGTTCAGCATGTTTATTTTGTATTTTAAAAGGGTATTCAGCTCCTATCAACTGATTTATTTGTGCAGTTTTCCTTATAATGAGGATGTAATATGTGTTGAGTATGTAAGTTCACTCTTTATTTGTGCTTATTTGATGATATCCTTTGTACTAAAAGTGGCTTCTTCATAATCTTTCTCTTCAGTGTTGATTTCTTGGAAGCATTTTTCCTATTTGAAGTTCATGTTCATTTTTTAAATTCCCTTGTGGAAAAAAAAAATGTTCTTATAGAACAAAAGCTAAACTTTACAGCCTGGCATACAAAGCTTTCCATGCTTTGACCTTACCTTATGTCTCCAACTCTATCTGCCACCTAGTGTATATAGTCTTCTCTAAGTCAATTAAATAGCTCTTCATTGATCATTAGTAACAAATTATATACATGTTTCAATCTCTGTACCTCCTCATAAAATGTTTCCCTTGTCAGAACTGTTTTCATTTTTTTCCCCTTTGCTTATTTATGTTTGAGTTTAAATACTAGTTTTCAGTCATTCAGTCAACAGATATTTACTGAATTCCTAACATGTCACACTCTCTTTAGGCTTTGAAAGTGTAGTGGTGAACAAGATATATAAAGTCTTCAACCTCATGAAGCCTTCAATTTAGAGGGAGACATAAGCAGACAGACATACAGTTTGATAAGTGCTGTATTAGAGAAATGCAACATATTATGTTTCCCTAAAGCTTTCTCTGACTACCCCAACTTTTATACATCATTGTCTCTTGAATTTTTAATGTGCTGTTCGTTCCTACAACCAATTTCTTCCTAATAAATGCACCCTTTCACTCTTATTTAGCAATTTAGATCTGTGATCAGTAAGGGTGGGTAAAAATACATGACCATATTCCAGACTCTCTCATAGTTCTCTGCAAAGAGCAAACACTAAATAAATGGTTGTGGGGTTTTTTTTTTTTTGGTGTTTCTTTTTAGTGTGTGTGTGGAGGGGGTAGGTAGCAGGGCGGGGGGTGGTGGTGATGATATGTACAACACCCTTTGTATCTACCCAAGGCTTAAATCAAATAATCAATTAAGAGGAACTTCTTAAAAGTTTTATTCTTTTATTGAAAGTAAAACATTCTATTTCTGCCCATACTGAATTCTTCCTACCATTTTGTTTCCTAGAAATAATTATTAGTAACTATATTGGTAAGTTTTTATCATTGAAATATATATTTATATATATAAATTAATAACCACCAATTTCAGTATATAAGAAATGTCCCAAATTGAATTCAGATCTTTTTCATATTAGGCTATGGGGAAATTCAGTCACGGTCATTCAGCGGGTAGGGCAGGGACCTCCTTTTCCCAAGACTTGAATGAGATTCAGGCTTATGTGGTACCTAGAAGATTGTCCCTGTCATCTTTAGTCCATCTTGTCATAACCTAACTCTCTAAGATATATGGTCTTTTGGAAGCAGACAGCTCTCCTGATTATACCAAGCTTAGGTTTTGCTGATGCCAAAACCCCTGGTACCAAGGGACTACTGCCCTAAGTGTGCCATCATGAGTTCACCATGTACAGTTGGGCAGACTGTTCTCTCTGTAAGGGTGCTTGACTGAAGGAAAGATTAGGAGCAGAAATGCAGCCTGTATTCCACTTACCAAAGTGAGTTCCCTTGGGGCTGCATTAACCCAGAAGGGTTGCCTTCTTCTAATTCATACAGAGACACTATATGTGCAAGTAGTGACCCTGGTCCCCACTCACCATCCCCTGGGTTCCAGCCCGACCTCTTCATCGCCTCTCCTCTCGGTCGGGCTGAAAGAAAGCTGATTACAGATTTTGAGAAACTTGCCTCCCTCATCTTGAGGAAAACCTTCTCTCTTTTTGGCTTCTGTTCTTTAAAAATACTAACTTTTGACACTGCTCCTCCTGGACACCTTATATAATCTCTTCTGTTTGCTTCGACTTTCACAAAAGACAGAAAAAGGATGTGTTCAAGAGACCCCTGCTCAGGACCCTGCTCAGCACGTGTCCCGGAAATGCCAGACTGCTCTCTTGAAATGGAGGGCCACAAGGGTGGGCGGTCAAAATAAAGAGGGCAGAACACAAATTCATATCTCAGTATATTTCAAATGAAAAATTAAGCTTATTTTTTAATAAAATTTATTTTTTTTTAATTTTGCAATTTTTTATAATGTCCGTTATACAAAATTTAAGGCTATCAGCCTATAGTAGGAAATTCAAATACAATCTGTGGCAACTTTGGAAATCGATGAGCTATTATCTTCCAGCATGATAGGAATTATATAACTGAAAGTTTAACATGGTCCAGTAAGACTTAAAATTGCTTTCTTCATATCTCTTGTGAGGATTTTCTCATGTGTTTTATGTGTGTTTTGTTTTAGAACTTGTGTTTTGCTTAAAATTTTAGCATGTGAAATTCAGCCATTAAAATTGTTGTGAATCTTAGAATTATTGCACAGGAACATAGAATGAGTGTAACACGGCACCATCCTCTAACTGTGAGAGCCTAGGCTGGGTGGATATTATTGAAGTGAAAAGAATTAGTATTTAATTAAGCCAAAATGCTGCTTTTGGTTTTAAGTACACAAAGCAGGCTTAGTCTTCTTAATGTAGAAGCAGCACAAGTAAAATGGAGTAAAAATAAGACATTGTAGTAAATTTCTGAAAGTTGGAATATATTAAATGCACACGTCCACAAATTAATAATGATTATAAAGTGACTTATCTTTATAGTTGAGTAAATAATAATTATAGCATATTTTTAAAATTCTTCCTGGTTTGATTCATTTTATTAAATAATAAACTCTATATATAATGTATATACATTTTACACCTGTGTAATATATCTATTTGCAGGAGAACCAGTTGTTTTCTAATTATGAAAGAATGAAAGGTTTATGTTTACTTTTAAAAAAATAACTTAAAATATATGTTAAAAAGTTATATTTAAAATGTTTAGCGCTGTGTATACTGTGCAAGTAGAACCCATGCTTATTTGATGATTAAGGACACATAGGCCTTACAGTTTTCATCTAAGTTCCAAATTTCTCATTAGCCAGCTGTGTAACCTTAGGCAAATTACTTCTTTGAGTCTTAGTTCATTTTTAAAATGGAGATGATACCTTACCTTGTAAAGTTATTGTGAAGATTAAACTCTTTTATTAAGCGTTTATTTTAGTACCTGACTCATTTCATGCAATAAACGTTAGCTCAGAGAAATTGGGACATAACTTTTTGTTGCATAAAATAACAAACGTATGTCTTTCCCCCTTTTGTCAATTAGACTTATATGCATCATTTTGGGTGATGAGCATCTTAAATTTGGGGGGTGATTACTTTTCATTTTTTTCATGCTTAAACTTTTAACAGAGTTCTTAAAAAAAAAAAAAAACTTAGTTTAAAAGTTTTCCAAGTCCAATGACCAGATGGTTGTCAGGAATTTGAAGGACAAGCTCATTTCTACCCTGCTTAGTTAATTATTGTGACTGTAAACAAAAGATGTACAATTCACAGTCAAGCGACATTTCACATGGATGATGGAGGTGATAATAGCTTAACTCCTGCTGGATCTTTTTTTCTTTGCTCTGGCAAGTTCATATTGACCTTGTCCAAAATCTGATGACCTCCCTTTTTTACTCAACTGTTTGGAAAGCCAGGCCTGCCATAGCTGGCCCTGAGGGGGTATCTGAAAGACCACTGAGCCATTGACCCATGTCAAGACTGGATTTCAAGTCTGATCTGCAGGACCTCTGCAGTAGTTATACATGGGGCTTATTCTACACAAAAGCCTCACCGGCTGCATTTTTCTGCTTATTAAATATCCTATTAATGTGTATTTTAAATGTCCTTATTAAACTCATATTTAAGTTACGCAATTTCTTCTGCAGGTCATTTTCTAGACTAATTACAAATTTTGATTGTTTTTATCAATGTTAGTACCTTAAAACTAAACTTGAATGTTTTGAAATGTCAGCCAAATATTCTGGTAACCATCACTAAACATAATATCTTACCTGGTTGATGAAGGGACCAAGGTAGTGTCATTTTAATGCTTATAAAGGTTTTGGTGTTTTTTAGGGGAGATGGTGGGGGGGGGGTCAAAAATTCCATATACCTCATGAAAAAATCAAGTTTAAGCTGTTATTGTTACAGCATGTAATCTCTGTTTATATGCTGTCAACCTCAGATATTACTCAAATGTTGGTGTTTAAGAATTTGGAGGTTATGGGACTTGTCCTGAAGGAAAGTGTATCTCCAACCAGTAAGATGTTATTTAAATTTGGTTGGATGGGATCTGTCTACCTTAATAGAAACTTTGTGATGGGGCTATGATATGAAAAGAGATAAAAAAAAATCTCTCTTTTGTTGTTCTTCTGCATAATAGAAAATGATCAGGGCCTTTTATGAATATCTAGTCAGTATTCTACAATTTATAATATGACATTGTCTTTTATTTTCATATAGGAGTTGATTCCTGAATTTTATTATCTCCCTGAGATGTTTGTCAACTTCAATAATTACAATCTTGGAGTGATGGATGATGGGACAGTAGTGTCTGATGTTGAACTTCCTCCTTGGGCCAAAACCTCAGAAGAATTTGTTCGCATAAACAGATTGGTAAGATAGTAATCATCTACTCTGTCTGTCAGGAGCCTTTTCACAAAGTATGTTTCATGTGTTGGTATAATCGTTTAACCCTTGCTCTTCTGGACCAAACCGTATTTGACAGGAGTAACTGAGAGTGACATCATAGTTCATGAATCTTAATATAAACCTGATAAAATTGTATTGTCTTGAAAGATATAATGGCTTCTTTTATTTTTTTATGTAGAATTTAGGTAACTTTCGTATGTACGTGATCATTCACAATTATACGTGAAGGTTGTTGGTTAAACTGGAATTCTATGCTTTTTCTAACATGGGTTTCTTGTACCAGGAAAAGAGCATAACTCTGTGTTCCAGGTTAGAAGGCCGCTGCTCATTTTAGTAATAGAAACAAAATATTCAGATTCTATCCTGTATGTGTGTTTTTGAAGGAGCTCTTCAAGTAGTACTTAAACATTAAAACTGAAAAGCACGGTGATCATAGTGCTGGCAAATAAGCCTTCAGAACCCTCTCCAGGGGACGCCTTAAGGTCATCTGTTAGATGGGCTTTCTGTTTCATGGAAAATGTAATGACTTTTCCTTTTTGCCTTTAATTTTCATAAAAGTTTGGTATCAGGGAGCTTCATTCTCAATATTTAAAAGTAGTATTTTATCACACTCGATATTAAAGATGAATCCAAATTGCATTGTATTTCTCATTTACATTTAAACCAGGAAAATTACTGCATTTTAGTTTTCTAGGTGGCATTTCTTATCTTTTATATCAACAATTATATTTTAATCCTGTCTTCCAGGTCCTAATTGCAGTCCCATTATTACTGATATTTCACATTATATATATATGTATATACACACACACACACACACACACACACACAAACACATACGCACACACGCACACACACACACACATGCAGCAGGGGTAGTGGAAAGAACATAGGCTTAGAAGCTAGACCAGTTTTCTTAATCCTGGGTAAATCACTTTGCTGGATGGGACCTTAGGCAATTTAACCTTTGTGAGTCTTGGTTTCCTCGTTTGTAATTTGGAAATTATGAGTATAAAATTGTAATTATGTATGTAAAATACCTAGAATATTATCTCACTTATGGTAGGCACTCAAAGATTGTACCTAGTATTATTCTATCATAGTCTTAAGGCACATTGCATTTTACTTTTCCCTCATGCCCTTTGGAAGAGTCTCAATTAAGTTACTAAATTAAAATGAGAGCAAAAGACAACGCTTCGCTCTGGAAGATGTTGAAGGAGACAACAGGCTTTGAAATGTGACCTTTGCCCGTGGTTGTGTGACTTTGTTTCCCCAGGGGCGCTTGGAAGTCAATAGGAGAGCCAGTCATTTTGCAATTTCTTTTTCTTTTAGTGATTGTCTACCCTTTTAAAACACATTTATTTAGGTCGAATTTGCAAACCATAAAATTCACCTTTTTAAAAGTGCACAATCTAGTGTAATAAGTTTTAGTAAATGTATACAGCTGTGTACCCATCACCACAGTCAGCTTTAGAACACATGTCACTCCAAGGTGTAAGTGTTCTTATACCTGCGGTCGTTCTCTGCTTCCCACCCCCGGTCCCAGCAACCACTGATTCTGTCTCTATGTTTGCTTTTTCTAGAAATTTTATATCAGTGGAATCATACAGTTTGTAGTCTTTTTGTGCCTGGCTTCTTTTACAAAACATGATGGTTTTGAGGTTCATCTGTGTTATTGAATGTATATTTAGTTTTTTTTATCGCTGCATAGTATTCCATTGTAAAGATACTATACATTTTATTCATCTATTTGCCAGTTTATGGAAATTTGGTTTTTTTCCAATTTTAGGCGATTATCAGTATTCGTATTTGCCTTAAGGTGGACATGTGTTTTCATTTTTCTTGGATAAATTCCTAGGAGTTTAATTGCAGGGTCGTATGCTAAGAACATGTTTATCGTTTTGCATCCCACCAACAATGTAAGCAATTCCAGTTTTCTATATCCTTGCCCAGAGTTGGTATTGTCAACCTTATTTATTGTAGCCATTCTAGTAGGTATCTCACTGTGATTTTAGTTTGCATTTCCCTGATGATGAATGATGTTGACCACCTTTTTACCAGCTTATTTTCTGCTCACATATCTTTTGTGGTGAACTATCTGTTCCAATCATTTACCTATTTATTAATAGGGTTGTTTGTCTTTTTATTATTAAATTTTAATAGATCTTTATATATTCTCCTTAAAAGTCCTTTGTCTAACATACCTTTTCCAAATATTTTTCTCCTAGCCTATGACTTGTCTTTTCAATTTTTAATGGTTCTTTTTGAATTACCATTTAAAAAAATATTTTTACTATTAGGTAGATACAAAATTATAGTTTTATAACATTTGAAAAGTATAATCATCTCCATTCTTGAGGAATGAATTTTTAAGAAAATAATTAAAATCACATTCAGATCATTTCATTATTGAAATGGTTTTTCTCAAATATGATTTAAATTGTTAAGTCTCAAAGGAACCAGCTCTCTATTAATCATTACCATATTTAGCATTATTAAAAGTACAAAGAAGTTTGTTAGTGTGTGTACTTTGCTTTAAAAGACTTATAAGAGGCAGAAACATTGAAGAAGTTATATTTAAAACTTTTCTACAATATTTTGACAGTTAAGAAAAAAATGTATTGCTTTTCCCCCCTTTTTTTAAATTAAATTTATTGGGGTAACAATGGTTAGTAAAATTACAAGGGTTTCAAGTGTGCTTAATTGTGTAAATTGAGGTAGGGCACTCTGCTGGCAGCGCCCCCCGCTTTTACCCTCACTCAGAGGAACCAGATCTATTTGGGGTGGGTTTCCCAGGGACACCAAAAAAAGGTGGCAACTTCCCAGATTCTTTTTCGCTCAGAGTGTGGTTTTTACCTGACTATGTTTGACCATGTTTTGAGCTTAGACATGGCTATGAAATTATGTACAAAATAGTATTTTACAATACTAACTGCACATTTATTATTACTTATTATTAAATTATTAAACATGTGTCCCAGTGATTCCTACAAGTTTTACAGATGTCTTCCTAGTTTAAGCTCTGAATAACACACGTTCTTAGCAGGATCATGTAAAAATTCACTGCAAATTAAATGCAAATGTAGTTTGGCATTGAATATTTACATCTCTGATTATTTTAATTCATAATTATGGGAAGATACTTGATGTTACTTACATGGGTCTTTCTGAAAGAATTTAATCATTCATTCAAAACTATTTATTATACACCTACGATGAACAAAGCTTTCCTGCAGTACAGTCCATATTGATTCATTTTATAATTTCCTGTTAACTTTCTATAAGGGACTGAATTATTAGGATGGTGTTTTATGTTCCTGTTAGCATGTTATCATACAAGGGTTTTATCCCCCTCCTCGTCGTGGTTTACCTCTTCAAGTCCACAGATTTTATGCAATGATTGTAGCTCATGAAATGCATACTACTTTGATCTGTGACCTTTTTGTGGTGCTAATCGGGTTCCTGATATCATTATACCTTACTCATTAATCATATTTCCTGCAGCCCGTCAGGCAGCCAGACAGCACCAGTCCCTGTTTTCAGCCCTCTGTTGGCAGGTTTCTGCTTTTCCAGATTATTACAGACGGTACTTTGGCTTCTCATAGCCAGAGCCACATCAAGCTGTGTGTTACAATTAAAGTCAGATGGTCCTCAGGTTGAACAGGGATATAGTGTTGCAGCTGTCTCTCTTCCTGGAACAAACCAGCACCAAGAACAGATGATCTATAGGACAATGAATAATAACAGATTGTCCAGTACTCTGTTGGTAGCAGGGGATCACAGAATTCATTAACTGACATACTCATTTTAAGATACCCAGCATGTCTTTTTTTAAGTATTTGGTTGCCCAAATATTAATTCAAGAGGATATTTTTAGGAACATGATTTTGATAGTGGACTGGTAATGCTATATTTTATATTTGGGTTAGAGGACCGTAGCTACTATCTTTCCTAAGCATTTTAATCCTCACAGTTTTTCATGAGTAATGAAGATCTAAAGGTAGGATTGATGAGTTGGCTGAAGTGTTGGCTTCATATACAGAAGATAACATCCTGTGTATTTTAGAAGGAAAACCCACCTAGGTTTGATTAGTCTTTCAGGTAAATAAAATATATTTTCTTTGTTCTCAACAGTTGGAATCAGGGTAAAACCTGAGCAGTCTTAACTACATCCCAGAGATTGGTCGGTGTTTTTTAATATTACCTGGACCAAAAGAGAAAAAAACAATTTAACTCCAAATACTGCTTCAGGAATAGAAATGAGAAACAGGCTTTCATACTTTCAAATAATATAAAAATGTATGAGTTGAGACTGTTCTTCATATATCTCTTATGATACAATGTTGATGTTATGAACCTATACTATATTGTCTCTTGTAACCCTCAAGTTTTAAGTCAAATAAGAGACAAAGAAAACCATAGTCTGAGCAGTAATGATAGTTCTATTTATAAAAGTTGATGAAGTGGAACATTTTATATTAGCTGAAAGATATATAGTTTCTTCAGATTATAATAAAAGTAATTCATTCATCTAACAGGTATTTACTGTGTGCCTGTGTACCAGCGCTGTAAGACCCAGCGAACAGGGCAGGCCGTATCACTGCTTCCTCTTTTGGAGGTCACTTCCTCATTGATGGCTTAGGTGGTTGAAATAGAAAGCTTCTCATGGCTGACAGGTGGCATGAATGTAATAAAGGAAGACTTCTGTTGATGAACTGTCCTGGGGTTACCAGGTAGAATCACACTTTCTTTTGTGTGTCTTCTGTAACTTTTGTCTTCTCTACAATTTCTTAATGGTGACATGAACCGTCACTTGCTTGAGAAGGTAAAGAAAAATCAAATGAGTATGTTACCTCCTTTCCAGATGATATGTGGACAAATTAAAATTGGTGATTTTTTTATGTTGTTGTCTGAGAGAAAAAATAAATTTTCAGATTTAATTTCTCCACCAACCATGTCTTTTC